GTAGACAGGACGTTAAGTTATGGACTCCTTTGAACGATTACAATCATAGCTGTGTCAGTGAAAAAAGAAGAAAATGTCATTTATTTACTTTGTGACTGTGCACTATTCCGCAGAAGACGTGTATTGGTATAGAAATTCCTTTTCTGGAGTCTCTAGAATCTCTGACTAGAATTTTGGTTAAAATTTTTTAAGTCAGCTAGCAGCATGTCTTATATCTTTATTTTTTGTGTTTTATTACACAAAGGTCTACTTTTATGGGCCTGAGTGAGTTGCGTCTCATGAGAGACGTGTTGCCACTGGTATCTACCATATAACTAACTTAACTGTTATAATTTTAGTTGCAAACTCTACAATATGTAGAAGAAGAAAATGAGTTGGTAAAGCAACAAGAAAAAACTTTGAAGTCAGAAATTGCTTTGCTGCGTTCTAAATTGGCAAATTGTGAAACTGAACTATTGCAATGCAAAAATAAAATACGTATATTAATGGATGATATTGAGGTGGAGCAGAGAGCTATCACAAACAAGCAGAAGAATAATAGGTGTGTATTTAAGCAAAAACTTTAATTTGCCGTGACTTGAAGTTCTAAATGAAATTTATAAAATTTTAGGCAAAACGTGGAGCGTGATTTCTTAATGGAAATGGAGCGTATACAAAGTGAAATTGATTTAGCTATACATAATACAGACACATCAAATAAAACTGCAGAAAATTTAAAAAAAGAAATATTATTAATCGAAAATGCCATAGCTGAGAAAAAACGTCAGGTATGTAAAGTGTACATGTTCTTTGTTTCCATGATTTTGAGAATAAAATATTGCTTTTTTTCAGGTTGAGCAACTGGTCAATGAAATGAAAGAAGTTAATTTACAAAGTTTAACAGTAACAACATCGGAAGAGATCAAACATTTGTTGGAAGGTAATTATAGTTATATTCCATAAATATCAAATTAATAACTTAAAAATTGAATGATTGAAAGAATGTTTTTAAATTCTATGTTGGCATTTTCAATCACTGCAATAGACAATGTATTGTTGTTGTTGTGGAAATCTGCTTGTAAAATCCTTTTGGGGGTGGTGAATGCCATTTGGTCGTCAAGACTGATGAGTGGTTCTGGGAAGTAGATTTGGCCGTGCCTGAAACCAGACAAATTGCATTTCATTGTGTATATTCACTTGTTCTGTTATTCGTCACATATTCTCATTACATACTCGTGTTTTCCACAGGATGTTTCGTTCAGGTAGCAGAATTCATTAATATTTTGTATTGGATATTCAAATATGTTCTGATATACACAATACAGATGCATCAAGTCTAAGATTTTGTTTTTCTGCCAGTTAATACGTAGTCCAACCCTTGCTCTTGTCGAAATGAGCTCTTTTTTGTTTTAAAAAGGACGTTATCATCAGCTTGAGCAAATCTTCCAAATGCGAAATAATTCGTAATATAATTCGGTAGTCTTTTACTGTAAAAGTCATATGCGTTGAATTTAGTCTTAATACTAACAGAAACGAAGAGGAAGCATCACAAATGCAATAGAGTGCTGTATTCATTACATTAACTATCGTTGAATTGTAATGAATTAACGTAGGATCGATTTACGCCTAATCATTATTCTTACATTCTTAGTAGTGGGGTCTTGTATGCAGTAAGTATAATTTTGTTATACATATTATTGATTGCAAATGTAAGTGCGATTACTATTTAATTTTTAAAGATTTAAATTACTATATAAGAGTTTCTTTCCACTCTTCTATTACCGCTTCTTTTGCCATGGGTGCAGAGAGTGGCTATTAAATTTCAGCTAAGCTGCTTGCATTGCTTATGATAAAGGTTGTTCTCGTGACCATTTTTCTCTTTTTAAAATGTTTTATGGCTGTTATGCTTTCATCGTGACTGAGTTGTACTGTAGGATCTATAGAGACATGCCCAAGTGCGCTTCTTAATTTTGTTTCAACAAATTTTCTTGATTTTTCAAGTTCTTGAGAAACTTGATTTATTTTACCGATTTACTTTGCAGTTTCTCAAGCAGGGACATTAAAGAAAGTACGCTTAAAACTTCTCTCTTGCCTTTTGACATCTTTAAAAAGTATCGCTTAACTAAACTATTATTGGGGGGTCGGTTGTGTTTTCGAGTCCTTTTGTATTTTTGTCTCTTTCTGAAATTTTCTGCCAAGATTATGGAGAAATCCATTTCCTGTTGTTATTCTATAATATACCGATTTTGGTTTGCTAAGGATTATCTGTAAATTCGTTCATGTTTTGATATTAGTCGTTTAGTTTTCATGATATTAAAAAATAATTTACCTTAAGCAATGTAGAGGGTTTGTGGTTGCTATGCAGATTTTGAGTTAAAATGTTTTATGAAATTTAATAAAAATAATTATTTTTATTAATAATTCATAAATTGATAAATATTTAAAAATGATTTAACATTCAATACAATCGTAATTTCAGGTCCAAATAAACAGGGTAGCAGTCGTCGGATAATTGGTTCGCCTCGACAACTGGAAAATGCTGTGCCCACAAGCAAAAATCCTCATGGTGTCTGGGTTTAATTGAAAACAAATTTCAAAGTTTTTTTTTCAACAAAATTACCTAAACAACGCAACTATATCACTTTAATATTTTAACTTTATATAAATAGTACTATTTCTTGTTAAAATTTTTTAAAAATGTAGTTTTATATTTATACACAACGTAGAAAAGTTAAAAAAACGAAAATAAGACAAAAATGTAACGAACTTAACTTGGGAACAAACTAGGAAATGAGTAACATATCTACAAAAAACAATGAATATATCAACAAATACATATGCATATGTTTATAAAATAATAAAATTTATATTTAAAGTTTGTATCGATTATATATATATATATGCATGTATGTTTTATATATAAAAAACTATATATAGTTTATATCTAAAAAAGTGTTTTATCAAATTTAACGATAATTGTTAAATAATTAAAAAAAAATTAAAAAGATCTCTTTGAAACCTATTGTTACAAAATTTATCAATATTAGCTGTGTTAGGTATTATGACTTATAATGTTTAACAATATCTACACCTAATGTTTAAGGAAAAATAAAAATTAGTAAACTTTGCTTTATAAAAATTAATCAGATGATATCTGTTATGCTATTTTAAATTTACTTACAATTCAACTACAAATCAGTCAATATTCATTTGTTTACAAAAATTATTTTATTTATTATATTCTATATTAATTATTGAAATATTACATGAAAATGTAATTGCTTCAAATCGAACAAAATTCGAATTACAATATATATTTTTAAAATGTTTATAAAGACAAAAGATCGATTTAAAGACTTAAACGCATTCCATTTTATACATAACTGCCTTGCTTTAGTATTATTTTTATTTTACGTTAACAAAAAAGTTCAAATTTTAAACATTATTTTTAAAAATTCTTTTATACGCCTTTTAAAGTATATATATATATATATAAAATATGTTTTCGATCATTTCTAAATTAATTATGAAACTAAATGTTTTAGTAAACGAAACAATAAGTTGTGACTTAAAATTTGTGCTTGTGTAATTAAAATTTAATTTAGTTAATATGACTTACTATGCTTTTATTAAATATTTTATCTAGTCTTTAGTTTCGAGAGCAAGTTTTAAATATTAAATTAAATGATAAAAAATTTTGTTAGTAAAGTATTAGAACTTGCTTATTGATGTATATTTCTATATTTGTTTTAAAAATGATATGTGAAACAGTTTTAATATAAAAAATATAAAAAAGTCTGCTTTAAACAATTTTAAAATTAAATAATATAATTTAATCGAATGAAAAATAATTTTAAATTAACAACGTTGCAATAATTAAATTAGCCTTTTTTAAAAATTATGTAGTGTTTTTAAATTTTTATGTACTATAATTCTTTAAATTTAAATAATAAATAATTAATAAATTGTTTATTCAATAAATAAACAAAATAAAATTTTGTTAGTATTAAATAAATTTTACATGTAATAATATTTAAGTAAGCAAAGCAAAATATAAACAAAAAGTAATAGCTATTATCAAAAATTCTTATAAAAATTTAAAAATAAATAAATAACAAAATAAAAAAAAAATCAATTAATGTAATGATGCGAAATCAAATTATAATACAAATGACACAATTATTAATATAATAAAAAAATGCAAATAATAAATAAATAAATAAAAATTAATAGTGCCACTTAACTAATAAATAAATAAAGTTGTCAAATTAGAGCTAATAAAATAAAGAAAAATTGTAAAAGTCACAAATAAATAAATAAAGTTAATAATAAATAGAAAAGTATAAAAATTGGCAAGATCAAGATAAAATAATTTAGAAAAAATAAATAAATACATAAAACAACTAGTACCAATAAAAAAAACGCTATAAATAAAAATTAAATTAAATTATATAAAAATGATGTAAAAATAATAAAAAATAAGATAAAATATAATTGGTCAAAACTAATCCGTTTTCATTTTGTTAATAATCAAAATTATTACCAAAAAGTATTTGGTCATTAAAACAATAAGCTATTAAATGTTATAATACAAACAAAAAAATAAAATAAAATAAATAAAAAATATTTGTAGCAACAAAATTAAATATATATTTATAAAAAATATATTAAACATAAACAATAAAATTATTGTTTAAAAATCGATCAATTTTAAATTATGAAACATAAAAATGCAAATAGATTAAAAAATAAGTAAATCAATAATTATATTATCAAATAATTATATCAAAAAATTAATATAAATTTTAAATCAAAATAAAAGTAAATAAACAAATATATTGCAAAGAAATAAAACATTATAATAATAAATATATTTAAATTTCTATATTTTTTCTATGATTCTAAAAATATAATATGTTATAAATAAACAATAATAATTAGCAAATAATAGTCAACATATTATAAATAAATAACATTTATCATTTTTAAATTTTAATATTATAATAATAAAAATATATAGAAACATTTTTCGGAGCAGCATTTTCAATTTAGTCAAAAACTTGTTGCATATCTTAAGGTATTAAATTTATCTTGCCACTTCTAGAAATTCCTAAAAAAAAATCACAAAACTCTTTTTAAAATTCTCTGCGAATTGAGCAAAAAAATTTGTAAAAAATAATTTCTGTATAATATCTTTAAAATGGGATGGGTGGGATGGATACTCTATCCTATTTTATCTCAACCGCGTAATCAATAAATCTGTGAAAAAATCGTGAGAAAGAGTTTTGTGGGAAATAGCGTAAAGCTGAACCAGTAAATTTGGAAAATAACGATTATATTGTAAAGCAATCACACAAAAGTATAACTTCTAAGCATTTTGTTAAAATTGTTAGCACTTCTTGCATATATTGTAGTCTTTCGTATTAATATTAATATGTTTGTAATGTTTCAAAAAAGTCTTAATTGTAATTTTAGTATAATTAGTATAATTAATAAATAATATATATAAAAATTTTTCTTGTGGTTAAGAGATAATCAGTTTTAAAAACACCAATGCAAAAACATAAAGAAACCTATCACCACCAACTGCAACAGCGACAGCAACAAATAATAAATATATTTATATGTATTTGAATATTATAAATAATCTCAAATTTTTAAAATTAAATACACGCAAAATTAAATTAAATTTATTAATAGTGTTTTTAAATTTAAATTAAATGTTTTTGAGAAGTTTTACACGTGAAAATATTAACTTCAGGATACAACGGGATTTCAAAGCAAAGTCCACTTAAATAATAAACGCTTTTATGTAAAACATAAAGGCATGGTACAAAGCCAGGCTCTGAGACTCAAAGTTCCATGGTACATTAGGACGAATGACATCCTCAGGGACCTCAAGATTGATCCCATTAAAAAATACATAAAGGATAGAGCCCTGAAATTATTTGCGAAATCTAACAGACTTACTAACCCCGCGTTATCAAATCGCAGAATGATTACAGGCTCCTCGGGGAGGTATGCAGATCTGAGGTCAATTATTGCTTAGTCTGATGAAGTGATAAACAATAATCCAGTCAAGGCGTAAAGAGGGGTTTTGAAGAAACCTCGCAGTTAATAGAGAGAAAAAGTGCTCAGGTGCACTGACTCAACTAGCTTCAACATAATAAAGGCATGGAAGTTATTAGACTTAAGCAATGAACTCGTTTAGAGGGCCAGTAGCGCATTGGCTAGATTATGTTAACGTGCAAAAGCAAAAAATTTGTCCAATGCTTACATCATGAAATGGTTTCATAAACTAGAATAATTTTTATTGTTTTAAACTTTAACATTTATTTTATGACCAAAAATTATTTATATAGTCTTGTATAAGGTTAATTGGTCAATTTCTTTAAACTGATGTTCTTTAAACAACTTCAATTACTTTTTATTATATTTTCAATATTGCGACTTTAGCCTCGTGAAGACGAAATGAGATTAAAGCCGAAATATTGAAAACAATTAAAGTTGTTTTTCTAGATTTTTATTTATAACAATAGTCTAAAACTCTTGACCAATTAGATGCATATAACACTATATGTTCTAGACTTCATTAATTTTATTCCGTAATTTAAAAATTTGACAAACTCTAATCACTTCTATGTGGAAGTGTTTATTTCTATATTTGATAAATCATTGCACGTGCGTATTGAATTGTAGAATAAACGTTTCATAAAATTTGTGGAGTTTTCAGAAGGTTATATAAAAGAAGAAAAAATTGCATGTCAAACACTTCCTTTTTTATAACTATTTGGAGAACATTTTATATTATTTTCGTTTATAATTTATTTCTAAATCAATATATTACAAGTGTTTTGTTGTTCAAAAGATTTTGTGCTTTAATTTGTGATATGAAAATGATCTATTAAATATGTTTCTTTCTAAGATGACAAATATATTTTTGATATATTTACTTATTCAAGTATCTTAAGCAGTAACAAAAATCTAATAATTCACTTATTGAAATTCTAAAATTATATATCTTTTCTATTAGATATCTTCTCCTATTACACTGTTCTACGCAGAATTTAACAGATCGTATAAAAAAAAGACATGTGCAGTTGGTACATTAAAAAAAAAGAAATTTATTTATATCTTAAGAGAAATTATTTGAACTTTGGAACTCATCTGGACATTTTCACATGTATTATATATCAGCGATAGTGCTGGTTTCAAGTAGGATTAATAGAAATTAATAGAATTCTTTTGCTTATTAACGTTAGTAAAGCCTACATATATTAACTAAAATTTCGAAGAAGAATAATTTTAAAAGGCTGCAAAAAATTAAATTGTAGAAAGCTCAAATCTTGCATAATATTGCACCAGATATATCAAGATTGGAGATGAGAGAATAATGGATAAAAAAAATTTGACCGTCATTTGGAAAACAATATTGTGTTTACCTAAGAACACTGGGTAAACTCATCGTTATATGAAGTATACCGAGCAGTTTGATTATTACCACTCATTTTTAAACAATATTACAATGTTATTGACATTAAATTAACAACTTACGTTGAAAGTGTTTTTAAAGAATTGTCATAAACAAAGAAGTATTGGATTTTTACATTTCTGATAGAGAACATATATCTACGCAACTAACATCAGACTTCTTGAAATCAGACTTCTTGAAATCGGTGTACTACCAAGCTCTTACATAAGTAGACAATATACTATTGATGACAGACAAAGCGAACAACCGATGGGAACTTGCATTTAAGAATAAGGAAATAACAGCCAACATGCGATTAAAAAAGCTAATAGATGTTGAGATGTTGTAAGAGAAATTTCACAAAACGCAGCATGATAGAATA